TATAAGACCAATCAACCGCAAAACTCGATATCATTATCGAGCCCGCGTCCGAATCGGACTACGTGGTAACGACGACCGACACAGGTCCCGAATATTGGTGCTCCAAGGTAGAACCGAGCTCGAACTAAGACTGGGGATTCGATCTAGCACCAAGCTCGAGTCAGTGCCAAGCTCGCAGACAAGAGCCGTTACAACCGTACCAAGGGAGAGAATCTTGGCGAGAATCAAGGGAGATACAAACCATCATGAGTTCTCTACTATATGTATTATTTTATGTTGTTACAAATAAAGTAGTGACCCTCTACTATAAAAAGGGAGATAGACTGCAATAGGGAAGGGGACATTAAGATTTCATTGTGCTTGTTCTTCTAATATTTTTCAGTCTCCCCGTCCATCATTTCCCATTTCATAGCAAAAAATATCTGTATCGTCATTTTGTATCAAAGAAATTTGCATACCCTTAGAACCATATCTAAATTTAACGTTATCCGATTTTTCGGGTAAACACGTTTATAATTACACTGTAATTACATTATGATAAACAAACAGATCGCCGTAATTACGTATTGTGTAATTACTAGACTGTGTAATTATTATCCTCGTAATTATACGAATTCCAATTATCAGGTAACTTCCAAACAAACCCTAATTAGTTTATTGGCTAGCCATAATATCTGGGTACTGCTCAACTTGACCCCATGCACACCTCAACTATTTTTGTAACTTTCGATATTGCATGCACTAAGCACATTTAATTTTACTCTTACTTTTTTTTAATCTTTTAGCAAACAAATTTTCACAAATGTAATGAACTTTTAAATTAGTAAAACACGTAACTGGTCAATTTAGCGCTTTCTGATACTAACATTACACATTGCACGCTAAGAAAGAACAGAATTTCTTCCATTGTCCACGGTCTTTCACTAAAAAAACAGCTAAACGATTTAAGTTTCGATAGTTGAGAAAAATGGAAAGAAAAAAGAGATAATTGTACTGGTAAAAAAAATGAATTTGTATGAATAACATTATTATATTGTAACCATTTCGATTATTGGTGGTTCAACCTATAAAGTGCGAAAATGATGCCTACAACCTAGTTGAAGAAAATGATACATAAAAGAAAGATTGAAGTTATATTGACAACTAATTTACGTCACTCAAAAGACAACATACTTTGGGTGTGTTTGGTACTTACAAAATGTTTTTATGAAAAATGAATGGGTTTATCTCTTATTTTCTCTTATTTGGTAGGTGAGCGGAAAACTTTTTCCGAAAAATATTTTTTAGTGTTTGGTTAGAGTTAAAAATAACTTTTTAGGAAAATATTTTTTTATGGTAATCTCCCCATCCCCCTTCCCCCAAGTCCACATGTTTCCTTGCTTCC